CATGTCTTTCGGACGATCCAAGCGATGCAGTCGACAATTTCAGACATTGTCCAATCTCCTGTTCTATAAAGAAATGTTTAATTTGGTTACGACATGTTTCTTCACTCTCTCAATACATTCATATAAATTGCAGGCATACCAAAACTCAGATTAAGCAAAAAGAAAGCAAAAATGAAAGTAATAGTTTGACTAATAAAATGCTCAATTGCATGTCACATCAATAATGAACAAAGAAAGACTGCATGTGGTACACATGCAACCGAAATTTTCTTTTCGTTCTCAATTTCTTTTTGTTTAATATGAGTCATGGTGGACGTGCTTATTGCATACGTTTGATTTCACGTAATTAGCTACCCTATAACTGCTCTGTAAAACTCAGTACCCATTTGTACGAGACATTTCTATTAAACTAGTTGTCCGTACGATATACAGCTTAAGCTTTTACTGTTAATGCTAGAATTACATTCTTTTATTTCCACCCATAACCATCTTTGTTGACAATATTTGGATATAGCTAACACAGCTTTGTTGTTTAATATTTGGAGATTGCTAACTCAGCTGTCAAATCAGTTACAATAATTTTTTTCTAAAAAGTTAATTTATGATTTGCATGTCATATTAAGCAGTTTTCTCTCTGTTCTGCAGAGGTTACGGTGATTCCTACAGTATATTGATGAATTGGCAAAGTAGTAGCCAGGATCAAAAGTATCCCTTCAACTAACGAGTAAAATTATCTGAAGCTAAAACCTTACTCCAAGCTAAAGATTAATGTTAGTTTTTTTACTCTAGCGATAAAGAATTTGTTCACACACAAGTGCCTCATTTTAAATTTTATCACATAAACCTTGTTTAGATTTATTTGATAGCACTGAATTTTGTTTACTTGCAAACAATATGCATCATTTGAGAACATTGTTTGAACATAATTTTCATTTGCCAACAAATCCTATATTTCACCACAACTGCAGTGTAAAGGGGTGTCAGACCTGCACAACCGTATTTTACTGTTAGGTATTTCTTTCATTTACCCCAATCCTCCATTTAATTAGTTTTCTTTCTAATCATATAGAGGGCAAAATTACTCAAATATGATTGGCTAATGAGGATGGCATTTTTTCTTAATTCAGGGCCAAATTACTTGTACCCGATTGGCTGAGACGCAAGCGCGGGAAGTTTCTTGTAAACTTGTTTTAAATAGCAATAAAAACAATTGCTTCTTGCTTTGTCGTCGCGGATAATGATGTTATTGAAGAATTAAACACTTTTAGTGAAAACTTGAACACTAGAAAAAGTACAAATTTATTGGTTGGAATATTTAAGAAATTGGCAGGCAGGGCAGCATTAAGAAACATGCGGCGAAAAGGCGAAGACATGGATCGAGACATACGAGGTTAAAGAACTTGACAAGTTCACAATTAACTTACGAATAAATTTTGCTCTCTATGATTAACAAGTAATCGCATAGTTCCTCGTAAAATTAAGGTTTAATTTCACTTGTGTTTTAAAAGTATCACAAACTTTGAAAATACGCGTGAAATTAAACCTTAATTTTACTTGGCCCCATGCGAGTACCTAAACTAATTAGTCCCCAGTTCAGAAGTACTGGAAAATAAGCCTCGCCCTAGGGGGCTGGGGGGGGGGGGTAACACCCACTGAAAAAATCTTGTCGGCGATTTTTACATTGTTCGTCTAATGAAATTTTCCCTGACCTTTTTGAAATTAAATAAAACTGAATACAAATGTACTCATAGGAACAGATGAACTCATGAATTTTTCTTTAATTAGGATGACCTAAAAAATTGTTTGGTTCTGATTTCATGCTTAGGATCAGTGGGTGCAATTATTTTTTATTCTTTTTGTATATGTTTTATATTTGGTGGAAAAAAGAGCGCCTCACTAATTGAATGTGTGACAAAACCCACTCAAAGTTCAACGAATACCGGCATCTAGACATGTTCTAAATTCTGCCAGTAAAAAAATTGGGTCAGGCACTGCTATGAGGTGGTGGATCGGTCATTCCAGAAAACATTCATACCTCGCCCACAGAGGAGATTGTAAGTTAACCCCCAGCCTAGACTAATACACTTACTGTTATCAGAAACAAATGTTTCTCACCTCACCCTCCGGACAGTGCAAATTTCCTCCTTGGAGCTGGGAAATGATCTTTTCTGGAAAAAATGATCTTTTCTGAAATTGATCTTTTCTGAAAGACCCAATTTGTTTCAGGCCCCCAGCCAGGACCACCGCCGGTACAAAATATGGTATTGATGCTCTTGTATTCTGTAATGAAACAGGACACACTTTATGTCACTTACATAAAAAATAACGACAACACCCGAGTTAATTATTTAGAAGAACTTTACATTTCCAAAATTATATTTCAGCATAAAGAGAATGTTTAATAACCTATACTACTATTAATTTATTGTGCGATCATTCAGATTAAAAATTTTTATTGTTTCTGATGTTTCGGCTACCTATATACGGCAGCCATTATTAAATACGTATTACAGTTACAAAATTACATGCAGTTCTATTAATTTTATCTTGATGAACGCATGTTCGTGAGTTTGTTTCCGTCCAAGGCATAATTTGTGTAGGTCTATAATCTCTTCCTTCGGGATTGGAAGTTCATCATCATAGTTAGCAAAGGACTCTTCCCATGCACTCAATTGTTAGTTGTAATGGAATACTTGTGAACAAAGACATAACATCAAACGAGACTAGCTCATGGGTGTCACTGATCGTCTTAGCTTGAATTTTCGTAATGAAATCTGCAGAATTCACTGGGCGGTGTTTCGAGCGCTCTGTTAAAGGCTTTAAGGCCTCCATTAAAAAAATAGCCTCCATTTTCAGTTCAAAAAGAATCGGCTTCTTAGCGAACCGATTGCGCAGTTTCCCAGTACCAAATGCTTCGAATTCAGCGAACCAACTGAATAACAGCAACTCGGTTACTCAAATAACGCCAAATGTTCTAAATTCTTCAACAAATTCTGTAATAAATGAAATTGCTGTTGTAACTGCAAACCGAGCTTCGACTTCGTCGAGGACGCATAATGAACTGCAAACCATTTCCCCTCATCATTTTACCTCAACTTTTAGTCAGAGAAATAATTCTGGCTCAAGTTCAAGAAAAAGAAGAAAAAATCATCAACATAATGGCAAGAATAGTAAGAAATCCAATGTGAAATGTCTTACAAGAACATTTATCTGTTTATCAGACAAAGACCAGAAGGAGGTGCCTGAACGTGAAGAAATGCGAGAGTTATTAGTTATTATGGCCTTGGCGATGTTAAAGTAGCTATACCACAAGATGCAAATGAAACGGCTATTAGAGACAAGTTGATTGAAACATTGCCTATAAGCTTAAAGACAGTGGTACGTGGGTTTGAACTTAAGTATATATTGAGTGTAGAAGAAAAGATCTTTCTGTTATTCCTCCAGGGCCTGATGGTCTCTCAATGAAGCACGTGGCATCATTCATTGCTCAAGGAAAGATACAGTATATGTCCGGCCAATTCAACAAGATCTCCCCATTGAAGAAGATGAAGTTGAAGCTGTTGAAGTTGAAAAAGAGCAATGCATGAATTGCTGTCTCATGGTTGACATTCATCTTTCATGAGAGCATCATCAAATCTCACTAACGATGAAATACAACCAACAGGTACTGTGTTCTAAGTAAATCAAGGAAGATTATAACTCAGACTCCATGCACCAGTCAAATCAAAGAGTGCCCATGCTTCCATATGCCAACCACGCAAGTTATCTTGAGGGGGTACTATGAAAAGTTTTGCCAACAAAATTTAGGTGTTTTTAGCCCCCCCCCCTTAAGCCCACATCTCTTCATTACATCCCCGCTTTCGACATCATCAGCCTGATATGATGATTCTTAAGAATATCGTGAAGATAATTTCCAAGAAAACTTAATTGTACAACAATTTTCGAACAAATCAATACATACAATGGTCTAAAGAATAGTATTGTACAACAATTTTCGAACAAATCAATACATACAATGGTCTCAAGAATAGTGCGAGGGGCAATTTTGGTGAAATAGCTAGCTAAGATAGTAAAATTTGTAGCTATTTTGTACTTTAATCCTGTAGTTTAAATTAATGGCAGAAAAAATTTAAATATTGATCCATATATTGTAATGGTTTAGAGAATCAAAAGATGATAAGGACGATAATCTAGATGAAGTGAATTTGAATTTATTAATTGACATTCCCTAAAATGGGCTTTTCAATGACAATTTACATGGATTTTAGAAGAAATTATGAGTTATCGACTATATATATTTACAACAATCTTATCATGATCCTTGAAAAGCCCGCATTTCAAGTCCTTGAAAGGCACGCATTTCAAGTCCTTGAAAGGCTCGCATTTCAGTTGGAAAGAGATGAAGTGGTTGAAGGGAATACACTACAGCTCAGTGTTGTAACGAGTCGAGTCATTGACTCGGACTCGAGTCGACTCGAGTTGCTATTTTCAGCGACTCGAGTCGAGTCCAAAACGAAAAATGACTCGACTCGACTCGAGTCAACAGCCCCAAATGACTCGACTCGGACTCGACTTGCTGATTTTGCCGTAAATGACTCGAGTCAACTCGGCTACAACTTGTAGAGAATAAATTCATCAAAAATATTGTGATTGTATTGCTTGGGAAGAACAATGAGCCCTGCGAACAATGAGAACTTCGAAACTTTATCAGAAAATATATGGGATTTGCATAGAATACAGTATATTCCTGACGGACATGCCTATATTACATTTCTGTTTTTAGAAACAACGCTAGTGCCACAGTTTATAAAATGGAGTTTCAAATTTTTTTGTACTTATGCTAATCCTGACCGGCTATCTTCATTTTTGGTATTTATGAAGTGCTATATAATTTCAAATTAACTTACAAAGCATGGTTAATTAAAGTATATTCTTTGTTAATTCTGACTCCAGTTGCAAGTTATGCTAGTTGTATATACGTACACTCGATCAGCAGGCATGATGAGACATCTCATGTGGTTGTACTTAATATTGACTAGAACTGTGATATGGTACAGCCTATGGCTGCCCAGATACTGTTATTACATGACTAAAGTGATTAGCTTAAAACGTAGATTTGATTACTAATTTCAAACTGCAAGCTAAGGTAGCGAACCATTACAAAAAGCGTGAGGTGGACCATTCTTGTCCCCAGAGCCATTTTCACTCAGTCACTCGTTGAAAAGTAGGCTGTGGGTTAGTCGACTAAACCGAGAGATCTGATTGGCTTCACAGAAAAATCCTATTTCGCAGAAGTTGAGCAGTTTTAGCTAGGAAAAATTATTCTATCAACATATGTCAACGCAAATACTTCATTTCTTCGTAATACTTCACTTTGAAAATTGTTATGGATGCTAAAGTGTCCCAATTCAAGACCATGCGCTTTAGAAACTACTGCAAGTTTACTTGCACTTCCGGTTCCGTATGTTTCAGGGCCTAGGGAGGACGCGCGCGGCCAAGAGGCCTTGGGGACAAGGATGTGAGTCGACTCGACTTAAACCAATGACTCGACTTGACTCGAGTGAAACTGCTGACTCGACTCGAGTGAAGCCACTGACTCGACTCGATCAGAAACTGAAATGACTCGACTCGTGACTCGACCTATAGGTGACTCGTTACAACACTGCTACAGCTAAAATTTGGTTGCGAAATGTTGTAAAGCTTGGAAAATATAGTCTTGCAAACTTTGCAAATTTGCGTATATGTTTGTATTACGTGCGGAAATTGTTACCATTTTCGGATCAAAAATGGTAACAATTTCCGCACGTAATACAAACATAATATACAAAATATGCAAACTTCGCAAGGCTATATTTTCCGTATTTTACAACATTTCGTAACTAAATTTTCTTTACGGGAATTTACTTTTTTGCCCAGATTAAAAATTAGTCTAACATGCAAGTTGTCTATTCATTGCCAGTTACCACTAGTACCAGTAAGTATGTAAATGTACATGACAGGGGCGGCGGAAATATTTTATTCTGGGGGAGCTAAATTTAAAAAAAGGTTTTCCGTAGTTTTTGACCAAGTGGAAACACAAACCGCAAACGGCATAGCGTATAGTGATTTCTCCTACGTTTTAAGGGGGGGGGGCTTTTCAAAAATTGTTCAAAATATAAAAATACGGATATGCAATTATGCATACTTGAGATCATTTGATCTCATGACTCAATGACTCATGATGAATTAATGAGCAATCGAAGCAAATTAACGACCAATTATAAGCCACAAAAAGCTTGAAAAGATCACTATACGATCTGCGCAATCAGCACATATAAGCAGTGTTAAATATTGTCTGACTGGACATAAAACATAACATTAAGAATTTTAATGATTTAAAAATGTTAACCAGACTAGAAAAGCAATTGTATTCCATAGTCCATACTCTCGGCGCTTTGACACAAAGAGCACAAACACAAGATAAATGCAATGCCTGCATCAGACGTTCTTATTCTATGTCCTATTCGAAATCGTGGGTTAGAATCAATGGATGATTCCAGCAAAAGACGAAATTTTAATCAAGACAAGAAGAACGAAACCATTACCATAGCTGGAAAGAGCAGTAAAATGAGTAAAATTACAACGTTTGGTTGCGAATTGTTGTAAAATGAGGAAAACATAGCCCTGTGAAGTTCGCAAATTTTGTATATACTGTATTTGCACTACGCGGGGGGGGGGGGGGGGATAACCATTTTTGAACCGAAAGTGGTTATTTTACCGCGCGTAATACAAATATATACAAAAGTTGCGAACTTCCTAGGGCTATATTTTCTTCATTCTACAACATTTAGCAACCAATCTTTGCAGTTTTACTCATTCTATAAGACGCTCTTTCTAGCTTTGCCTTTGGTGTTGGATTTCGTTCTTCTTGCTTTGATCAAAATTTCGTCTATAGCTGGAATCACGCATTAGGAAAATGTGAAACTTCTTTACTTAACTTTTATTTGTCCCATTTGCCAAATAACCACAAAGGCCAATACTCTGACTTTGTAGTATTTACTCTGGGAACGAGGTTGAGATATATACTTAGGGTGAAAAAAACCAATTTACATTCACTTGATCACAAAGTAGGATATTTTCTTTTGTATTTTAGCCGGCGAGCAGTGATTTAACGACTTCGTAGTTTGTATAAATGGTCTCGCATTCTCAAGTGGCATTATTAGTGTATTTTTTTGGGGGGGGCTTGCCCCCCCCCCCCCAGAGGTTGGCGGGGGCCCGGGGCAAATATTTTTTAGGGGCCCCTATCTAAAAAAATTTTCCCGGAAAAATTTTTTTTCCGGATCACAACCCCCCCCCGTCGCCAAAAAAATTTCGGTCAGTGTACCATTTTAGGGGTAAAAAAATTTTTCCGGAGTACAAAATTTTGCCGGACGAGTAGGTTGCAAATCCTTTCGAGGGACTTTATCTTATTTTTTTATGCCAAAATTCGGTACTGAGCCCATAGAAAACAGATATCTTCAGGGGCCCCCAGCAACTCGGGGCCCGGGGCAATTTGCCCCCTTTGCCCCCCCCCCCCTGGGCGGCCCTGCCCCCCACTTTTACTTCTGGTTTAGCCCCCTAGCCCCCCTGTTACGCCGCCACTGCATGGTACATGATAAAGACTGACTGTGCTGACAATACTGATAAATACAGTCAGTAATCAAAGTTAAAAATCGACTTACATACAGTATGTGTTTTTGGTGGATATTCCACAAGCTTTACTGTATTTTGATATATTTTACATTTTTCAGGAACATCTAATCAACGTTCTGAAGGGGGAATATACCGGGTGTCCCCAAAAAAGTACTCCGGTTTGATTCTTAAAAACTTCAAAGAGAGTGAAGCAATTAGACTCAAATAACTTTCATTAAATAGAGGAAAGTCTAACTTAGAATTTGATATATTAGATGTAATTAAGTTTTCGATCATTATATATTGACTGAGATACTAACGTTTGAATTTATGCAAGTTTTGCATGATTGATTTTTAAAAATACCCGTAAACAAGTTAAGGGATAATAAATATTCTTGAACGGCTTATTCATAATATTTTGAGTAGTCTCAAACGAATAAAACAAAGTTGACTGTTTCTAAGTTTGAATAGGATGAATATGGTAGTTTAAATAATAGTGTTCTATAGCCATCTTTTTGGTAATTAACAATTATTGAATGAGGTTGAGCACGATATGAAGAATTATCAAGCCCGAAGTTTGCCGTTATCAACCGAAGGCGAAGGCTGAGGTTGATAACGGCAAACTGAGTGCTTGATAATTCTTCATATTGTGCGAAAACCGAATTCAATAATTGTTTTATTATATTTATTTAAAAAATTCAAAACAAACGGTCGTCCATTTGTTCGCCCGTGTTTATCAGCCAATCAAGAATTAGGAAACTGAGTGTTCTTACCTATTCTAGAAGCTTTTGTTGATCTTTTTGTATTTAATGAATCTTTATCTTCCAGTAATTTTTCAATTTCGGCTTCGCCAAGGTTGGCGAACCTTTCAGTGGAAGAAGCCATTTGTATTTTAGTTGTGTTAAGAAAAAAACAATTCCTTAGTCCTTCGGCAGCCGTCTTCGTCATATCAATGGCGTCAGCGAGTCAATATGATTCTCGTCGTCATAGTAACATGGCGCAAACGCGTCCAATTTTTTTTCATATTGACTCTTTGACGTCATTTTGCTAATATGAATGTGAAAAATCCCTATTTGGTTAGCCATTTAGTTGATATGACAATCTCACAGTTGGCTGTTAGCCAATAAGAAACCAGGAATTTTTTAAATAAATAATAATACATATTACTGTATCAGCGCTATATTTTCATGCATTTTGTTCCAAGAATGTTGCATGTCTCTGGGGAGTTGCATGTTATGTTATATTGTTGCGTTATGTTTTAATTGTGTTTCATTTTGAGTATGCAAAGATTAACTAAGGATCAAAGAATTTGGATTTGCTTAGAGCATGCTAGATTCCAAAACACGGCAGAAGTTAGAAGACGATGGCCGAGTCACTGGGGTAATACTCCTGGTCCGAACAAAACGAACAATAATTAGCGCAATGCACAAGAAGTTCTTGCATGAAGCGATGTGCCACGACGCTATGCATGTTAGAGGTCGCGCGATTCCAAACGAATAAATCTTGTTTGTATTTGGTAAATGATAATACTTCGTTTCACAATAAACGTTTTATCAAGTTTCATCAATTTACTGATAATAATACTGTACGTCTTTAAATTGAGCAACGCTTGGTTAATATTTGATACGCCGTTTTTCGCAAATTTTTGACACATCCAGAAATATGCTACCAAATTTGAACATTAATATCTCGGTCAGTTTTTTATAAATACACAACTGTAACATATCAAAATTTAAGTTAGCCTTTCCTCGATCTAATGAATGAGTGTAATAGCTTCACTCGCTTCAGAGTTATTAAGAATCAAACCGGAGTACTTTTTTGGGGACACCCGGTAGAAACTATATATGGATTATCGATGATGAGATAAGTGATATTATAAAATAACATGTATAACACGCGTGCTCTGATTGGTCGAAACCCGTGTTTGGATCAGGCCATCCAAACACGGAAGACTATCGTGTTGTTGTTATTTTATAAAACAATTACTTTATGGTTTCCCTGTTAGGATGGCCTGATCCAAACACTTGGGAATGTTGCTCGAGTTAAGAAAAGCGCGCAATATCACTCGCCTTCGGCTCGTGCTTTCGTGCGCTTTTCTTAACTCGAGCAACGTAACCAGTGTTTGGATCAGGCCATCCAAACACGGAAACCATAAAGTAATTGTATAATGATGACCCACAACGTCAAGTGGCAATCGAAGAGAGTTTGATCAAAAACAGATACCAAAGAGGAGAGCCAAAGTGTACAAGAATTGTTGAATGTCTTTCAGTCAACCAACATTTCCACTTCTGAATCAACTAGTTTAAATGCAAACATAACTGTCAGCAGAAAGTCAGTGTTTTCCTCGACCCAGAGAGCGATAGGAAGAAAGAGATTTACATTCTTCAAGGGGGTTGTTATTGCGTTTGCTGGAAAAGAAGCAGTCATGACGGAGGTCCGACTCGGGAATTCGTCCGGTTGTTGATGCGTGAAATAAGTGAATCCTCAATATTTCATTGATCTTGGTTTTCACATAACCTTGGTCTCCTTGCAAACAGCCGTTATGAATTAGCAGGGAAGCTTGTTGCTTGGAGCATCCTGCATGGAGGAAGCGGCCCACGTTGTTTATCGTCAGATGATTATGATCTGCAGAAATCTGTTCAGGTTACTTTTGTAAATGGTGTCAATGCTGTTGATGTGGAAATGAAAAGCATGTTGCAAGAATTCATGAATAGCTCATCCGAGGATACCTTCACTTCATTGGTCAACTAGCATGGTGGAAAAATTGCAGAATCTGGTTATCCAAAAATCTATCGTTGCAATTTATCAAATGAAAGTGAAATGATTGAGTCATTGTTGAAACAACCTTTCGTTTATGGAGTCCATGCAGAGGTGTCACAATTCTTCAATGGATTAAATTCCATTGGTCAGCTTGGTGATAGGATTTTACAAAACAAGCAGTTGTTTGATTTGACCTTGGGTAACCAACATCCATCTTTAACGAAATCATCATTCATGACATTGTACAAGATCAACCGCTCAGAAGAAGGGTCCAACCAAAGCAGCAAGGAGGATAGTACTATCTATTGCTTTGAAATTTTCCTGCAAGATTTGGAAAGGGTGATATTAAAGAGATTATCACTTGAACATCTTCTCGTATTTATCACTGGGGCTGATTGTTTGCCGCCATTAGGATTCAGTAAGAATATCACGGTTGATTTTTACAACTTTGATGAAAATAGCCGTCTCCGTCCCTATGCATCAACATGTCTTGAGGATTTGAAAATCCTGTAGAATTCTCAAAATTCCTGAGGGAAGAACTCCTGGAATGCCATGGATTTGGGAAGCTTTAATTTCTGCCATCCTCTTTGACAATACAGGGTGTATCAAAAAAAACTGAACAGATTTGAAATTGCTCTCAATTTCGCAAAACACCTATTTGTATCTGGTTTTTTATATACATAGCTTCTTTGGGTACTTATAATGTAAAATAATGAAAAAAATTTCTCGAACTCAAATTTTGTGAACCAGGGGGGTGTGT